AAAAAAAAATTCATATTGGAAGTCATTGAAATTACAGATAAATTAAGGTAAGGATGAGTTTGATTTTAGTTTTTCACTCAGAGTTTGCCTTGATCACTAGAGGTTATTTGATGCAAACAGGAATATTCTTCATTGTTTATTGTCAGCCACATCTGAGAGAGCACTGAGGCAGTGTCCCAAAGTTTACTAGTGGGGAAAAAACCCAGCACCTTCAATCCATGACCTAATTGCTGTTTTATAACATAATACTGGGACCATTGAGGTCAATAGAATATAATTTTGTCTGAGGCTCTTCCCTGGTACCAGCTCTTTCTGAAGAAGCAAGAGCTGTTAAGAACAACTCAATCATGACTTCTAGAAAGACAGGGACCTTATGTGGGTGGTGTGAGCTAGAGTAGAAAATTAACCTGCATAGGACACATCTTACATTTCTATTCATCAGCACGTTAGGGGAGTGAGGAGAGGAAATAAAGGGCAGCGGCAATTGACAGCATCCTGGGAATGTGCTAGCACTGTTATTCAGCCTTAGCAGTAGTGGGCCAGAGAAACTTAAGGGTAGGCTTTCTAATACTAGGAAATATTTTCATAAAAAGACACATGGGGAGAACTCTTGTGACTCACATCCTTCCTAAGCCTGTAGGAATAAGTGTAGGCCAAATCCTTTCACACTCTCCAAGTCCTTATTCCTTCTTGAGCTGTTCATTGAATCATCCAGATGCCAATTTTTCCACTTGCCCTGAGAAATCCAGTGTTTCTCCCCCCTTGCTTCCTGTCCCTATCACGTTGCCCTTTTCCTGTCTAGGGCTCAATCTTTCCTTCGATTCTTTGGTGAAATCCCTCCATGTTTTTAACTGTTCTATCAATTCTCATATTTTTATAGTTCTCCCTCTGTGTTAAAATCATCTTCTGATTTGTCCCCGAACTCTGCTACCATTCCTTCCCAAGTTCATGCTCAAAGAGTCAAGAGCGGCACGGGTGGGAGCTGAGGGGAACCGGCAGGACAAAAGTCAGGACTGATTGCCTCGTCTGGTGAGATGTTAGCAGGTTAGACTGCGGTGGGTCATAGATCCAAGGGGTTTGATCCAACAGTGGGGAGGGACCGAGTGGTATAGGCTAATGATTAAATGCTTTCATTAGTGTAGGTTAATCAGCTTAGTCTCCATTTAACAAAGCTATCATTTTATTTTTCTTTAGTGTAAAATCACGTGTAATTAGGACTTTCTGAAATGTTAGGAAGTCTTGTCAAGACAGAGAGTTGGGCTGGGGACATGGCTCAAGTGGTAGCGTGCTYGCCTGGCATGCGTGYGGCCTGGGTTCGATCCTCAGCACCATATACAAAGATGTTGTGCCCGCCAAAAACTAAAAAATAAATATTAAAAATTCTCTCTCATAAAAAAAAAAGAGAGAGTTGGAGGTTTATAGCTGAAGAAGTTACTACTAAGTCTGTAATGATCTGAGTTCATGTGGGTGAACAGCTCTTTTTCACAGTGAGATGGGACTGGATACACTTGTGTAGATGATGGCCTCATGCTGGCACTGCCCTTGGGAAGCTCCAGGGCACCTAGCCCAGGTGCCAAATAACCCAGCATTTGTGTTCTCTGAAAATGGGTCGTTAGAAGAAAGTCTTTGCCAAGGGACAAACAAGGCCAGCTGGTCTCGTTCCTCCTGTCTCCTGTCTCTCTACATGGTCTCCCCTTCATTTCTGCAACCCTAGGACAATTTGAGTGCTTTGTACCAGGGCGAGCCAAGCATYATCTTGGCACCTCCCTCCCTTTCCCACACAGGTTCATAGACAAATATTTTGGAAATGGGTACTTGAGGAGCTAAACTTGAAATTCTGCCATCTGGAATAAAGGCCAAGGAATGAAACCAGAGGGACAGAGACAAGAGGGTTCTTTTTTTTTTTTTGAGGCTCCTGTGTCACTTCTTCCCCTCCCTGATGTCTAGTCTTGAGAGTCATTACCAAGGTCATTTGCCTGTACCTGAAGTCCTTCCTTTACAGATGTGTTTTTCTTTGTTCACTTGATAAATAGAGGAGGGGCAACATGGAGCCACAGGTACAGGGGTTTCCACATGAGGGGACCATCTAGCCCTGTCCAAGTTCATGCCATAGCAGTGAGAAAAACAGTGGGGGGAATAACTTGGAATCTACACACTGTAAAACTTAAAAAGTGAAATCGGGATCAACGAGATTGGAAATAATGAGAAACTCAGGAGTGGGCATGGGGCATTAAGGATGCCCCATTTTAAGTGATTTAGGAGGCACGTGGCTACTCTGGAATCCCATGAGTTCACCATCTTCCTCTGCTGTACTATGAATGTCACCCCCAAAAGCCTAATTGACCATTTCTGACAGTCAAGAACTAGGTCTGTTTTGTTGAGATGGGGTCTTGCTGTGTTGCCCAGGCTGGCTTTGAACCCTGGCACAAGAGACCCTCTGCCTTCAGAGTAGCTGGTACTCCAGGAGCATATCACAGCACCTAAGTATTAGATCTTTGTCCCCAAAACTGCATAGACTTTTAGCAGCTATCTGTGGTGGACCTCATAGGTCTATGAACAAGCTAGCTTATAAATGGAGCAGGATATTGTTTCCCACCATTTCATGGTATATCAGTAGGCATGCCAGGTACAGCTCCCACCTCCAGCCCAAGGTGACTCCTGTCCTTCTCTGACCTCCCCAAACACTGCCCATGAAGGGTGAAGTACTTGTTTCCTTGAATTGTTGGACATAATGACAGAGACCTGTCTTGCCTAGTTCAATATGCAGCCAATCCATCTCTCTAGTTCTGTGGCTCTCAAACTTAAAAGCACACAGGAAATCACCTGGAGGGCTTGCTGAGGCAGACACCAGGTCTCACCCTGACAAGTTTTGATTCAAGGCAGACCTGCAGAATCTGTTTCGTTTTTGCAGTGTGGGGAATGGAACCCAGGTCTTCGAATGTGCTAGGCAAGGGCTCCACCCCTGAGCCACATGCCCATCCCTGAGAGTCTGTTTCTAACAAGTTCCCAGGTGATATTGAGGCTGCTGGTCTATGGACCACTGATCTAGCTCAGCTTCTCCCCCAAGGCTCTTGTGGACAAAGCTTCCTCAGAGTAGCTTCTCAAGGCCTGGCTGCACAGACTACCTTGTTTCCCCAAGTCCTTCAGAGTTGGGACTTGGCTGACTTTGTGATTGTGACAACATATAGTAAAATAAAACACCAAGACACCAGAATCTTGTTAGCTGGATATATTTCTTTTTTTCTTTTTTTTTTTTCTTTTTTCTTTTTTTGTCACAGAACACTGTTTGCAGTAGAGGAAACTGGCATTGCAGTCTGGTGGTATAATGGCTTGTTCACATAAACCAGTACATGTTCATCCTTTAGCGCAAAAAGCCCTAATGGCGCGTACCCTATTGAAATTCAGGACATCTCCAATATTTTCTCTCTCTGTTTTTCTTTGTTATCTTTTTTTTTTCTCTAAA